AGCTGGTGCCCTCCCTCCTTGTCTGGCAAGACTGGGATCACACTTCTTCAAAGTAGGCCATCTGAGACATGTACGCAGAGTTTCGCTGCAAAACAAGACAAGTATGAGCAGGTTGAGAGAGAAGCAAAGGGGGTCGAAATCAGTGTAAAAGAAATGTGAATTCATGGTGTGATTAAAAACTCAAAGACAAGAAGTGCGTACGCAGTTATGTAAATATATCTACTGATGACATTAATATCTTCCATAACTTCATTTTCTTTTGGCCCAACAGCAGAATATTTAAAACCCCTTTTGGCTCACTTTTTTCTTTATTTACAAGGCAATGGAATATTCACTACATAGCCAGGAGGACCAAGCATGCTACACACTGTTATTTGCAGCATATGTTAGGCTGCTCAGAAATACCATCATTTAGCATGCAAGTATTTCTATACATGTTCAAGGACATTTGTTTTATATAAAATAATTCTATGCGATTTAAAATTGCTTGGGTTTTCAGCCTTTGTGTTATGTGATGTCAACACAAAGGAAATATCTGTAAAGTATAGAGGAGAATGTGTGTGCTTCAGGTATACAAGAATCATTATAAGATATCCAACATCTTAGAGCTTTCTGCTGTACTGATGCCAATTTATGTTTATTATAATATAAAATATATGTTTAGCACAATTCCCAATATAAAATAAGATAAGATAAGATAAGATAAGATAAGATATTCCTTTATTTGTCCCACAATGGGGAAATTCCTAACCGGTAACCAGTTAGACTAATAATACTAGTATTTAGAATACTAAGAGGAAGATCATGTGAAGTGATCATACTTACATTGCTGTGAGGTATATAGACAGGCTCCTGGACGTATCCTCTCGCCTCACTGCGGAGGTTGTAGAGGCCAGCCTGTTGCTGCTGCTCCTCCAGCTTCAGAGACTCAATCTCGGTCTTCAGCTCCTTCAGCTGGTCCTGCAGGTGTTTACTCTTCTCCATGTACTCCAGCCTGCATTAACAGACCAGCATGTAAAATTTATTGGCATCTAGCGGTGAAAGTGCAGATGGCAACTAACGAAACACCGCTCACGTCTGTATTCGACAACTCACCTCTCTCTCTCAATCTCCATTGACAGCCTTTTCATGTCAGAGTCCTTGAAGTCGAGGCGCGTAGATGCCGATTCGTAGCCGAAGTCGGCTGCTTCAGGAGGGGCAGGGGGAGCAGGAGGAGTAGAGTAGGCCGCTATGAGCTGGAAGACAGGCAAACGGATGTAAGTTGTTGTTCTAAGTTGTTACACTCATGAAGGGAAAAGCATAAGTTGTGCAACTATATTACAATCTGCTGACACACAACTGCAAAAAACTGCTGAAGCTCAACTTAAAGCAAATTATCAGCAAGTCAGATTTTTTTGTGTTTTTGTAATGTTTTGTAATGTAAACTACTTTTTCACCACTCGCACTCCGAGCTACAACACAAAACCAAAGCAAACTATTCCTAGCCAACTAAATGTTGCGTTCCTGCTTTTATTTTCTTGTTTGCAGTTTTATTTCTCAGGCCCAAAAACTTTCAAGGGCTTACTTCTTGTATAATCTTGGTTACTTGAACTTGAGGATTCCTCTCTAAAATAACTAATTTGGTTATTCGTACTGTAGAAAAATAAATCTAAAATAAATTACCTTTAAAGCAGGCAATTAATGACCTTAATAAGACGACTGCACTGTAATAACTTGAACTCATATTTCAGAACAAAAATAAGCTGCATTCATCCACAAAAAGGAACAAGTAAGGTGTCACAAAGAGTACACAAGCAGCTGTATCATCACCACCGTACAGGGTATGTTGTTTTGGTGATCTCCAGCAGCTTCTGTTTGGCTCTCCGCTCAGCGTCCTTTGCCTCGGTCAGGTCCTGTTTCAGGTGATCTGCCTCCTTCAACCTGGAACCAGAGGGTGATGGAAGATTGTTACTAATACAGTGAATACTGTGGAGTATTAGAATAACAAATTTTGGATACAGGAGCAGATGTAACTTCGTGGTTTATGTTGATGGCTGTTTACTGAACAGCAATATTTGGATTTAAAACTACAACCGGTCAATGTGATAAATTGCCTCAAGTGATGTTACTTGAATAATGGTTGGTTGTGGCTGAAGACAAGTTTGAAAAGTAAAAATGGAGGTGTGGTGGCAAGAAGTGAGTTTACCAGACCTCTGTGACCTGCTTCTCTGCTTAGAGGCTAGTGGCTCGAGGCTACATTAGCTGCTACAAGCGTAGTGTTACATACCAAGACCTACAGTATCTCCACACTTAATTTTAGTGCTGTGCCAGCAGGATGAGAAAAAGGTCTGGCTGAATCCCATATCATTCTGCTAAAGGGGAGGAAATGCCCTGGCTTGTTTGTGTTTCTTTGAACCAATCACAATGGTCTTGGGTGGTACTAAGCACAGGATGCAGCGACGGTGCCCTTACAAAATACACTGATATCGTAAGTGAAGGGGGAATTCTGACTGAAAGTGTCAGCCTATTGCAGGCTTATACACACAACCTACTTCCTGTGAGTCAGACTAGCATAACACACCTCAATCTCCAATGGAACTGTCAGCAGCCGAGTTGCATTGTGGGTAATACAGATGCCAGGTTTGGACAAGGAACAAGAAAGCGGTGAATAAAGATAACAGTATCTCTGCTTCTGTTGCATTGATTTCAATCCTTTTTTTTTTGTCCATCGTGAGTCTGATGTGACAGAGTTACAGGAGTTCAATGCTAAACTGATGGAGGACTCTTTTAATGTATCGCATATTCCTCTGTAAGAAATCAAATCAATTAAGTAATAATTATAATAAAACAAATGCGACACTAGTCAAGATGATTTCAGACCTCCTCTCGGACTGCTCCACCAGTTTGACAGCCAGCTGCTCTGCCTCCCTCATCTTCTGCTCCATCAGCCTTTTCTCCTCCTTGGTCTTCATGGCGGTGACCTCTAACCTCTGCCTCTCCTGCTCAGCGTCTGCAGCCTTGTGGGCCAACAGCTTGGCCTCCTCCTCAGCAATCTGGGCCTTCTCTGCCAGCAGGTCCGCTGTCTCCTCAGATCGCAGCTGGAGAAAATGCATTGTGGAAAATATTTTCAAATAAGATAAATTGTGGAAGAGTTTTAGGGCTTAGCATGATGGAGGAACTTGACTCTACCACCATGTTGTTTGTCGCTTTACAGGAACATTTAAATGAATGTTATGCTTGTTGCCCCAACATGAGCTCATCAATTATCTCATGCCTCTCACCAGTGCCTCGTTGGCCAATCGTGCTTCGTCCTGCAGCTGGAAAAGTCTTCGCTCCATCTCCTCTTTTGCTCGTTCCGCCTCCTCCCTCATCTGTTTTTCTCGTGCCAGAATTTGACGCTCCATCTGGATGGAGGTCAAGAAACCAAATTAAAGAGTTGAGACAATCAACCATGATTGCCAAATAATTCGGACTGCAGTTTCTATATGTATGCACAGTGTACATCCCGTCTAATCTGTTACTGCTGACCTTCTTGCGGGCCTTCTCCTCTTTGGCTTGAGCCTTCATCTGCTGCACTTCAATGGAGTCCACCTTCCTCCTCCTCATGAATAGATCATGGTTACCGATGCACAACTGCAGGATCTAGAGACGCAGGTGATACAAACCAGAAATATCTTAATTCATGTAATTCTATTATAGCTTTGCTATAGTTGAATGTTGGACATGGACAAAGAAGTAAACCCACCAGCTTGTTGACACGCAGTTGAGATGAGTAGAATTTGAAAACATCTTTCTTTTTGTCCAGGGGTTTGATTGTGAACTGCAACATAGAAAAGTAAGTTTAACTCTGCTCAGCACGGACAACATTTTGTTTTTGACAGACGGCACAGGTTTGATGCCTTTGAAACAGCACAGCATCAGGCAGCAGGACAGTGAGAGCCAGAAAGAACAAGAAGTGAATGTATAAAACAAATATTGAAGCATATTTTCTTAACAAACAGTCATTAAGGATGTGGAATTTACATCCACTTAAACAACTAAAACCCTTTTTGTGAAATTCAGAATATCCTGACAGCAAAAGACAGTCCACTGCTTGCATTTACCTCCTTTTCACTGTAAGATATGTTGCGGATGCCGCTCCAAGGAAAGGACTTGTTAGGGTTGAGTTTGCTGTTGGGGCTGTAGATGTGAAGACCCTGAGCATCCACTCCGAGTAACAGGTCAGTATCCCTCTTATTTTGCTGTAAATGTGTAAAAAACAAATTTAAACCAACATGACAGCAATGTTCACGGTTGCATTTTTCCCAAAAATCAGGGCACAGTAATTTACACTTACAGTAATGGCAAAGTAGCTGACACCATACATCTCAAGGTCCTGAGCAATTTTTAGGTATTCCATCTCAGCCTCATCCCTGACATTGTAAAAGTAAGGGAGAGAAGACTTATTAAACCATGATATATTCATCACACTTCAACTACAGAATGTAGGACGAGACCTTTTGTAAAGGTTTTCATTTCTCTTAAAGTTCCAGTGTGTAACATTAAGGAGGATCTATTGGCAGAAATGGAATATAATATTCATTCAGGTATTTTTTAGTGTATAATCACCTGAATATAGGAATCATTGTGTTTTTGTTACCTTAGACTGAGATGTTTTTATCTACAGATGGCCTCACCTTCAATGTTTCTGCAGTAGCCAAGAACGGACAAACCAAACATTGTCTCTAGATAGGGCCTTTTGCTTTTTTTCACGCGTTTCACAGGCACCATAGTTTATCCTACACACTTCACAATCCGTTCTCATTCCCAGATCAACTAATACAGACGTGAGCAGCGTTCAGTTAGTCGCAATCTGAGACTTCACTGCCAAATGCCACTAAATCCTACACACTGGTCCTTTAACATGCTGGACTTCAGATGCCTTCCTTGGTCAGTCCTACCTGGCGATGCCTCTGTGCTCTGCATACCAAGCTGTGATCTTCTCCTCCCACATGTCAGCTGTCATTTGATATTGCATCAAAACCTGAAATACAAGCACGGGGTCAGAGGAAAAAACACTATATACACACACACAAGAACAAAAACATAAGCTAAGTGAGCAACTGGTTATAACCTGCTGTTCTGGACAGTCAAATGTGCAAATAGTAGTATATACTTACTCTTTTTGGCAAAAGCTCATCTTGTGCGAGGAAGCCTGGCTTGTGAAAGTTTGGGTCATAGTCCCCATACTGTAATTGAGATTGAAGAGGAGAAAGCAAAACTTACAAAGCAGTTTAACTGGAAATAAAATACTGATTTTATTCACCATAATATAGATCTGCTCAGTAAGTTGCCCTTGAGGACAAAAACCAGTACCCAAAAAAAGAGAAATGTGTTATTGTTGGTCTCATGAATATGTCCCATCTATGAGAGCTCCTTTGCATAAAGTTGATGAAAACATTGTATTTTTAAGTGTATTTGCAAAAGACATTAACTGTGACTTTCAGGTAAACTTCAGTGGACAAAATGAGATACAGGTAGGACAACCATACTGCAGCTGTAAGACAATGACAGTGAGAGACCATTCATCTTGTATTTATACATATATTTCTTACCTTGGCTTGGACAGCATATGATGCCAACAGAACAGACGCTTCAGGGGAACAGAATATCTCTTCATCTAATATCTGTTTTTTCACCTACACAACAGTTTAAAAGACATGTATGAACACATGCTGAACCAAGTAAACTGTCCTAAAACATGGAGATGAATTCTACCTACATGTAAAAATAAGAGATCAGGTTGTTGTTACAAGAAACGTTATTGGCTAGATTACCTGTAAGAAGAAGAGATGCTGAGTTATTTCTTGGACCAACTCTTCTTCTACCTTTTCTGGGAAGAACTTAGCCAGGAAATGAAATGTAATGGGTGAGTCCTTGGGAACCTCCTGGTCCAAAACCTTGGTGAACAAATAAATAGTAGAAGTAAAGTTGATAATAAGACCAGACTCTCACTAAAGCTGCAATGAGATATCATGATCAGCGTGTACTTCGTATCTGGCAACACACTAAACAATTAGGCAATTAAAGGCTTAATTGGTCCACTTATAATGCATTAACAATCTAAATAATCAATTTATGAAGTAATTTATCAAGCAAATGATACAAATATTACCTTGTTCTAGTCTCTCAGATGTGAGGATTTGCTGTTTTATGTCAAACTGAATCTGTGCAAAATGTTAACTACATGTCTAACATCATGTTCAAGTCAAGTTCAGTCCTTCACTTACCCTCTTCTCTGGTTTCAGCCAGGCGTAGGTGTCCTTTACTGTGTACCGGAGTCCAAAGAACCAGGTCTCCCTCAAACCCACAGTGCGACACACCAGGTCAAACAGGTCTTTACCTTTCCACTTCACCTGAGAAGAACCAGTAAAAGCAACCTGAATATTAACTAGTAACTCTCTTTGTGTCAGAGTATCACTTTAAACTTTATGGTAAAATACTGCTTCTTTTGGTACGTTGTAGTGGGGATGCGCCACCTTCACTAACATCCTGACAAAAACAATACACTTTTATGAGCTAAAAAAAAAAAAAGCACAGGCACTATTTCACACAGCAAATTGCATGTATTTAGTGAGTGTGGCTGTCATTTGGACTTTAATCTAGTTGCTACCTACATTGATCACAAGACGAAGCACCGAAGGATCTGACGACGTCTGATAAACTGTTTCCTGGGGTAAACCCTGATTTATGCTTTTCCAAGGAAGCTGGATGACGTATTTCATGTGATAGGGATGGGGCGATAAACTTTATTATTGTGTATTGTAAGAAAAACACTCAGATAAATGTATCATGGTGAATAATCGTGAATCTCCACACATGGCTTGACCTAAAAAATAAAGCTGTATAGCTTGACAGCATACCGTCCTATATTGATATCCTGATTTATTTCGAACAAGTGGAGCCAGAATCTTTCCTGGCACCATGGCTGAAGGCTCGGTTTGCCCGTTGTATCCCCCACAATATTTGATGATTACCGCAAAAATAAGTGTAGCATGACATTTTTATATCGTCTTGGATGGCAACAGTGAGTGGCTACATACCCATGTGAAAGGTATTAGACATTGGCCTGGACATGGGAATGATACACAACATACAGAGACAGATAAAGCATCTTTTTAAGCTCTTAGGTTGACTAAATAAACTCATACCTCACAGCTGAACTCCATTTCAGCATCCATGGTGATGACTTTGACTTTGAAAGTCTTTGGCTGTTTCTTCTTTAACCCTAGGATAGACATGTTGTGGGTGCTGCTGTCAAAAAAACAAATAAGAAATAGTTCAAGAGAGGAGAACTGCTTTCAGTGCAAAACGTGACATTTTACACGTTATAAGATAGATGCATCAGGACACTAAAACTGCACATTTTAAAGTAGTTTTAAACTTTAGGAGAGAACCAAGCCAGTGAACAGTTATTGAATGTGGGGAATTAGCTGTCAGCCGATAATAATGTAATGATTCAAGTGGTTTTTAACAATAAAAAACAGTTACAGTTGCATATTTATTGAATACAACATGAAGCTGAAATGTATAACACATGAGGCCCATTACCAGCGAGTAAAGTCTCAAACTTCTGCCGTCCAACAAGGCTCAGAGGAGGCTGGGCTTTTTGTGTGTGTGTTGTTGGGGAGACCAATGCTAAGCTAACATATATCAGCAGACAGCGTTAGCTTCCCAGCTGTGCCACGAAAACGGACCAAAACAAGTTGTAGAAAGAGCGGAACTTTGGAGAGATCTCCATAATTAAATATATCGAGCGAAATCACTTTGTAACTATAAAATGAAGTTGTTTTAGCATATATTTTTTTTTTTAAAAAAAGTGCCGCAGGAAACAACTTTGCTGGCGTTATCGGCTGCTACGTGCTTCAGCTGGTTAGCTCGCTGTTAATTATCAGGAGGACTTTCCAGAAGAGTTTCTTGTTTTGGCTCCTGGTCGCTCTACAGGCGGGACCACGAACAGCAGCTTGGGACAACGCCACTGCGCATGTGCACGGATTTGGAAGCACGAATGCTACCTTCGCGGGTTGTCGGAAATGTGTAAATGCTTTAGACTTTAAGGTGACCGTGAATGCAGCAGCAGGGACTCCGAGTCGAAACGTTTGGGGCGGATTTATCTGGCTGGCTACTGGATGTTAAAAAGCACATGAAAGTAATAAAACATAGTCAGCTAAGAAGGCAAAGGTTGTTTTTTGGGGGCAAAACGGACGTAAATGCGCCATGTATGTGTCTTCCCCTGACAGTCCTTACCGAGGGAATGTCGGACAACTGAGTGTTACTACTATTTTCTTCCTGGTCCATTTGTGCTCTCAATAACCACACTGTTCTGCAGCGAGACTTCTGTGTTGTGCCACTAAATGTGTGAAACAGCTGGTGGGACCAACTTGATGTACGATGGTGAACTTGTGAATAAACTGTCAGATAAAAACAACTAGCGAGGCTACTGTTGGTAACTCTTGTCATTACCATTCATGTTCATCTCTTGTGTAATGCAGTCGTCAGTGTTTCAGATACATTGTTATTATTTACTAGTCAATTAGACAACAGTGGCGTGTAGTAGTTGCACAATTCTTAAAACCTTCCCATATTTCCCAAATTAAAATAATATAATGGTTAAAGTTGATAACACCGTTGAAAACTACCTGATGAGTACAGAAAGTAAGGTGATCAGGTGTACCAGGAGGGTCACCAGTGTCAGTTTCATTCACACTTTAAACTTACAATCTATAATGTGTATTCTGATATCTACTATTTTTACAACTTCACTATATTCTTTCTGGTTCTTTCTTCCTTTGAACAGCTTTGTATATAATGTCAGCTGTCACTAACACATTTGAGAATGTGAAAGCGGTTATCTTATCAGCTCATAAGAGCTCCACATCAAGAGAAAAGGTCAACTTCTACAACTCCTGGGCAGAGAACTATGATCAGGTGAGAAAACTGAAGTACAATAAGTCGATCAGCAAAATATTGGCAGTGTAAACCAGTTAAACTATAGGGAATGTTCTTTTAAGTGATATTATTGTGCATAGATCTGAGCAATACCAAGAAAAATAATGCAGTGCAAAATCTATAACATATTGTGTCTCTGTATGCAGAGCAAAATAGCTTCTATTTTCTTTATATCTAGCCAAATGTAGTTTTAGAGCGCTCACTGCAACTCTAGTACACATCTGTTTATATGATAAGTTGTGAATTAATACATTTGTTCAGATACCTGTTCATGTTTGCCCTCTTCATGTGTGCTAAAAGCCACCGTTCTGTCATTGAACTTGTTGGAATAGGATGTGGCTGTTCTGGACTACCGTGCACCAAGTCTGGCAGCAAACAGCATCTCCTCCCATTTCAACGGTGACCGTGAAGCAGCCGTTGTGCTGGACGTGGCCTGTGGTACAGGACTGGTGGCCAAACAGGTAAACTCACACAAGTGGAGAGTGCAGAAGATAGTGGAGTTTATTTCAAAATTATGGACAATCACAGTTTTCATAGATAATGCAGCACTCACTTACAGGCTACTACTGATTAATTAATACTTCAAACTCATTAGATAATATTTAATACCCATAATTGTTCTACAGAGTTGTCTGGTTTTTTTCATATAAGTTGTATAAAGTCCGGACTCAAATTGAACATACAGGATTTGACAATAACAGTATCAATCATTTTTACAGTGAATGATAATCCCGAACTGTCTATGGGTACTGTGTGTGTAGCATGATATTATGTACGACAGCAAAGTTTTTAGTGACAAAGTAAACATATTCAATAGAAATATATCTTATACAAAGACAAATTTGATTGTTGTTGTAATCTAACCAAATACTGAATAAACAGCTTTTGCGCCCGTCTGAGGATCCACCTACTGAATCCGCTTGATCAATGTTGACCCATGTGGAAGTTAATGAAAACCATTAATTACCCATGGGACAGGTAGCGGCTCCTTTCTCCCAGCAGGACTGCTTCAGGTCCTGTACAACCCGCTCTCTTCTTGGCCAAGTCCACATAGCCTCGCTTTCCATCAATGACCCATCAAATGTTTTAAGATTCCGTTGTTTCCTTCAACTGTGTTACTAAACAGAGGACAGGATTGGTTGTTTAATTCAGTTCACACTGGTCAATATCAATTTGAACATGGATAATTTAAACTAAGCTGATTAGTTGATTAGTTCTGTATTTTATAGGAACAATAACATGGTTTAGTCTTTCACTTCTGGAGCAAGAAAAACGACGTATACAGATATTTCATTTTTACTGGTTTAATCACTTTTTCTTGCTTTATTCAGAATCTCTCTTCCAGGTGAGTTTGTTTTC